CATAACGATAACAAGATCCACATTCATTCCTTATATTTACATTGGTTTATCATTTGTGATAAAATATGCCAAAATGTTCTATTTTTTAATTGTAAAAATACCCGAAACCATTGTTGCTTAATTCACCGATATCTGTCAATCAAGTTCACCAACCCGCCCCTAACAATATAGTTCTATAAATCGACAGCCTTATTTGGATGATAGAATTATCAAATATTTATTATTCCATTGAAATATTAACAACAATTGTAAATTTAAATAATTAGAAAAAATTAGATTAGACTCTAGGTAAAAAACTTGGGTCAATCCTTGTTTTCGTTTTCGATGTATTCATACGCCTTATTGTCACGTGACAGTTATTGGAAAATAAACGCCGGTTTGGCTAACTGGTTTATTGAAGGGAATGATGGTAGAAATGTAAATATCTATATACAACAGGTGTATTTTATATTTGAAATATATTTAAAATAGTCTTGATTACCAAGAATGAGTAGCTTCTGTAGGAGTAAGTTTAAAAAAGTTTATGTTTCCAGAAAGAGGTAGGGACTGTATGCCAGCTTCATATAAACAGGAATTATGATTAAGTCCTTTGATGATTATTTTTATTTTTTTTTGTTAACTTGTATTATAGTTTGCTTAATTTGACACTAAAAAAATAAGGAAATCCATCTTTAAGTCATTTGATAATATTGTTATTTTTTTATTTCTGTTATCTTATATTATCAGATCTATACAAGAAGTTTGTTGGATCCAATGATAATGAAGAAAACAAGAAACAAATATTTGTGGGTGAAGTCTTGATTAGTAAAGAATCAACATTAGAAGATTTGAAATCCCAAATCATGACATTACCTCATGTTCAGGAGTTACCGATTCCATCTATAGAGTTCCTGCGAGTGAGAAAGTTGACTAATTCCAGACCATCAACCATTCTTCGTGATTTAAAACATACCTTAAAGCAAGTACCTATTATAGTAAAAAAAAATTTAGATATGATTGGAGCTGTTGAATTCTTTACATATTTCATTTGCTTAAAAAAATCTTAAATACAGTATCTCTATTTTAAATAATACAATTTATAATATTCACCTGGAAAACAAAGACACAATTCTTTTACATATTGAAATATCTATGAACTTTTGAGAAAGCTTTAATTTACTCTAGTGTTCATCAGCCTTCAATTTAAGTGGTATCTCATCGCAATTTGTGAATCAAATTGACCCCTTTTGAGCAAATAATTCCTATTCTTTAGCCAAGATTGAAATTTATTACGATCATCTATGAATCAAAGCAAATTGTATATATTTCTCCACAATTTTTACCTAATCCAGTCACATACAGCCACTTAATTACCTCAAGGCCATACAAAATAAACAGTCTGTTTTACAGGCCCAAAAATGCCTAATTGTTGCCTTAATATTAGATGTACATTAAATTTGTGGTAATAAACAGTAAATGCTTTTGTTTGCTTGATTTATTCCAGTTGAAAATCTTATAAAAGCGCTTATAAAAAATAAATAATAAATTCGCCCTTTGCCCAGATTTAAAAAAAAAAAGGTCTGTAAATCAGACTTTTTATTTTGTATGGCCTAACTTTAATTGATTTCCTGTTTTTTTTGTAAATTGTTTTGAGTAATTTGTAAATTGTTTTGTGTAATTTGTAAATTGTAATTTGTAAATTGTTTTGTGTAATTTGTAAATTGTTTTGTATAATTTGTAAATTGTTTTGTGTAATTTCTAAATTATTTTGTATTTTCAGAAGACATAAAATAAAAACACCAGAAGATTTAGCAATACAAGTTTTACCCCAAGCAGAATCATTAAGGTGAGTATATATAGTTGTGTAATATCTAATATAACTAACTGCAAACATAACTGTGCTGTGCCTTCTGTGCTGATACTGGAGTTGAGGTTTGGCTATATAGCCGCCTCAGATGATCCTGCATATGTGGTATCATCATACCATGCCAGATTTCTCAAACTAGCTATGCATACATGGTAACGACAGTGGTACACTCCAGATAAAGTGCTGAACATGGTATGAGCCAAGGAGCATATCTAACTGCAGCAACTAATATATGTATATCAAATACATATCCTTATTAGCTGCCCTATTTGTAAAGAAAGGGTGAAACTACCATATTTATACGTCCTCATGAAATGTCGAGTGTATATAGGTGTCATCCATGTCTATCTGTCCATCAACTATTGCCCGTAGACATCTTACATGGCACAACTCTTGATATGATTATTATCAGACAAGTAAAATGTAAATATGAGTTAATGCCCTTGTTATCTGAGAAGCATTCAATTTTTAAATCCTTAGCCAATAATGAATTGAAGATGAAGATTTAAAATTTTGTTTATGTTTTTACAGTACAAAAGACATTATATTAGAGGTCAAAGTTCGCCAACCAAAAACTTCAACATATTCCCCGAGTGTAGAGGTATTATGGGATATATCACAAGGAACTGGTATCGTAGGTTTAAAGCGAACAGTCACCGAGTCTCTCATGTTACCTACAGATCAAATTCTAATGGCTAAATACTTATACCAGACATATGATTGGTTGATTATTAAGGAAAAAGACAAAGCTCCAGTTCAGGTGGGTGAAGTTACGAATTTCAACATATATATAAAAACAAGCATTTTGTAAAACTTGGATTTTGGGGAAGGAAGGGTTTGATTCCCCCAAATGTAGGTTTAGGTTGAATCAAATACTTCATTAAGAAAATGGTATAAACAGTCTGAAACTGGCGGGTATTGCCTTCTGTTCTGATCTGAAATAAAGTGATAAGAAGTAATAGAAGTGTTTAAAGGAGCATCTTCACTATCCGTTCGACCAATCATACCTTAGTTTCAGAAACAGGAATTTTTTTAGCTTACATAATCAGTAATAGTGTTCACAGCTCTTTGTCGAAATTTGAGCCTTCAAATCCATGTGTATTGATAATTATTCATGTTTGAAAGTTAAAAATTGTCACGAATTTGAGTGATACTGTGAATGGACAATTAAATTTTTGGATTTTCGTGTGTTTTAGTACTTCTTAAGACCAAAATCAATCTCCGAAAATACTGACTGTTCCCCTTTAAAAGGAACATTTCATTCAGCTTCAGGGACCTAGTACATAATATGCCTAGCAACTTCTTCAGATTATGTCAATGTTGTTATGAAGATGATCCCTATTGATTTTCGTGATGATCGGATAATTTTTCACCGAAATATCGTGTCTGACTTGACGTTTTACTCTATTAGCTATATTGTGCTACTCGTGCTCACTCTACTGGCTACAATTTTTTACAGATTCTTTTGATTTTTATTTTGTGTGTCAATATCATTATGAAGATGATCCCTATTGATTTTCGTGATGATCGGATAATTTTTCACCGAAATATCGTGTCTGACTTGACGTTTTTCTCTATTAGCTATATTGTGCAACTCGTGCTCACTCTACAGGCTACAATTGTTTACAGATTCTTTTGATTTTTATTTTGTATGTCAATGTCATTATGAAGATGATCCCTATTGATTTTCATGATGATCGGATAATATTTCACCGAAATATCATGTCTGACTTGACGTTTCATTCTATTAGCTATATTGTGCAACCCTGTGCTCAATCCACAGGCGACAATTTTTTACAGATTCTTTTGATTTTTATTTTGTATGTCTATGTCATTATGAAGATGATCCCTATTGATTTTCATGATGATCTATCGATTTTCATGATGATCGGATAATTTTTCACCGAAATATCGTGTCTGACTTGACGTTTTTCTCTATTAGCTATATTGTGCAACTCGTGCTCACTCTACAGGCTACAATTGTTTACAGATTCTTTTGATTTTTATTTTGTATGTCAATGTCATTATGAAGATGATCCCTATTGATTTTCATGATGATCGGATAATATTTCACCGAAATATCATGTCTGACTTGACGTTTCATTCTATTAGCTATATTGTGCAACCCTGTGCTCAATCCACAGGCGACAATTTTTTACAGATTCTTTTGATTTTTATTTTGTGTGTCAATGTCATTATGAAGATGGTTTATATTTGTATTTGGGTTATTGATATTGATTTTAAAAAATTTTGTGGAATTATTCAGCATGAATAATTTCTTCAATATGAGAAAATTCGTACTTTAGTCACTAAAGACTTTTATTATTTCTGACAGCTGCCAGTGGGCGTATGTTACCTTGCAACGCAAGCTATCTTTTTAACCATTTTAACCATTAATAATTTCAGGGTAAAAAAGGTAAAAAAAAGAGGCAAAAGGTCCAGAAAGTAGACCTCCGTCAATCTCCCCACTTTATAGGGGATGGTGATATGATAGGGGTTAAGGTAATTTAGAGTTATATTCTATTTCTCATTTACATTACTCTGGAATTTCTTCAGTTAACAGCATTTATTGAGAAATCTAGATTTTTCAAGTTGCTTTAAAGGGACGTTCTGCTTTTTTTGTAGGTCACAAAATTTTATGGTTACATTTGTGAATACTGTACACCAAAATCTAGAGAAATGTGCTCTTTACGGTGTCTGAGAGTTTTAACTAAAGAAATCCAGGAGTTAATTTTTAAACACAAAAAATATTTAAAAAATTGACGTAAGATTGGGTATACTTTTAAAGTAAATAGTAAAATTTGAGTAAATTGAATGCCTAATTGTAGAGAAATATGTCTCCTATGTATTCTTAAGGTTAGAACTAATATTAATAACATCAAGCCATTATAAAGCCAAACACCTAAACTAGCTCAAACTGCTTAATTAACAATTAGTACTTTCTGTTTTGAATTAACCCTTTTAAAACAAATTCAGTTTGATCAAGTAGATAAATAGATATAAATAGCATACTTTAGAAATATTTTTAGGTATAACTTACGATGTTTTTGTCAGTGAAAACTTTTTACAAAAGAGCTGAATATCCCTTTAAGTCAAGCTATAGTAAGAAAAAGAAAATGTAGCAATTTAACCCAGAGATAGTGACTGGTGATACTGTGAACTCTGTGATATCTGACATCTGAGTAATCCAACATCATTTTCTAGTCCCGATTGATTTCTTTCTTAGGCTAGTTTAAAAAAAAACTCTGAGTACCGGTACTCTGACACTCTGTGTATTACAAATTACGACACTAATCAGTGTAGTTGTACAGACAATTGAAGGTATTTATTATAAAATTTGATATTTTAGAACCTAGAGATAGACCAGAATAATACAGATTTCAGTACTCAGGAAGATATTGATGGTAAACAACGTCTTCAAAAATTAGCAGAGGAGAAAAAACAAAGGTACCTTTTCATTTTTTTTACGGGTTTGAAAAATATGAAAATATAAAAAGCTATCCTGAATAACAATAAGTTTTCCACAATTTCAAAAGTGTCTTTCTGTTATATTAATTTTCATAATTCATAATATGTATGATGAACATTTTGGCTGGTTGTAATTGTAAACCAACGTTGGAAATTTGCACATCATTTTTATTAACAATGATGTATAGGATTCTTGAAAAAAATCTAAATTTAGAATACCTATCCCAGGGGCTGTTTGATTGTTGAGTTATTCTCTTTCAATAAAATAAGTTGGAACAGACATCACAATTCGTTCTATGTATACTGAAAAAAATGAAAGGTGTAGACAGAATTAAAAATGGCAGAGAAGGAAAAAGATTGGGAAAATTTTGAATGTGACATATTCCCTATCATATAGGGCGGGGAAGAGGGGTCCCCGGCCCCTCCTCGCAGCCCCAAAGGCGTGTTTTTCGGGCAAAAATATCATAACTTGGTTAGAACTTCGGTCAACGTCAGGTATTTCGCTCCCGCTCGGACGTAAACCTGGCTCCTCCACTGGGGCAGAATTGGAACAGACAGAACCTGTTCAGAAATCTCCAATCAAGCGCCATTTAAGAGCACTATCATAAAGTTTATTTTCTCTATTACAGAAGAAAAGAAGATGTAATAGAAAGGGAGACAACTGTAGATTATTCAAGGACACGACGACCAGAACTTGCCTTATCTATCAAAGTTGACAAATTTACATAGCATATATTCAAATATTTTATAATGCTAAATGTCTTTCAAAAACTATATTCGTATCAAATTGCCATACAAATAGTAGAGACGATTAATAATGGAAATAAGCTAAATTTATTTATTAGAAACTAGAAATCAGAATCATTTTTATCCAAGTGTTCTCCTAAAATTTAGAGATTAGTTAGTTAAAATTAGTATTCAACAGAAAGCAATGGCAATGAGTTCAATAGGGTTAGTATGTTAAAATTGAAATTCGTAGTACTCCTAACATAGACCTAAAAGGATTGGTTAAGTTGGTATAACCTGAGTGAGAAATATTAGCTGTATTGAGGATCCTTCTGAAGTTATTATAAAATGTGTATCAAGATAGTCAGCCAAATAAAGACTAGACTAGTTCACAAATCTTTGTTATTTGTCCTATTATGATGTATTGAGATGGATTTCCATGAAATCAATTGTTATTCTTTTCTATGACAGATTGGATGAGTATTAATTTGTTATTTATTGTTGTTATTAGCCTGGTATATTAATCAGCAAATCTGGAACAAACCGTTCACTTCCTATAGAACTATTAGCAGCCCTAGACCAGTAACTAGAGAAGGTTTTTTTTTAGTATAAAATGATAAACACAATGTTTACTCTTACAAGAAAAGTTGTTATTGTGAAGAAGTTTTCAAGATTACGATCAGTTCATTTTTGTCTGTTTAATTAAGATGATATGTTTGTATAAGAAATACAATAAAGTTACTAATTAAAGCACTATTTCTTAAAAGTTATTTCAACTCTGTAGTATCTGAATTATTAGATCACAGGGAGAAAACTGACACATCTGTATATAGTGCACATCTGTATACAGTACACACCTGAATATAATAAACACCAGTATATCGTACACATCTGTATATAGTAGACATCAATATATAATACACATCTGTATATAGTACACATCTGTATATAGTAAACACCAGTATATAGTACACATCTGTATATAGTAAACACCAGTATATCGTACACATCTGTATATAGTAAACACCTGTATATAGTACACACCTGTATATAGTAAACACCTGTATATAGTACACATCTGTATATAGTAAACACCTGTATATAGTACACACCTGTATATAGTAAACACCTGTATATAGTACACATCTGTATATAGTAAACACCAGTATATCGTACACATCTGTATATAGTAAACACCAGTATATCGTACACATCTGTATATAGTAAACACCAGTATATCGTACACATCTGTATATAGTAAACACCAGTATATAGTACACATCTGTATATAGTAAACGCCAGTATATAGTACACATCTGTATATAGTAAACACCAGTATATAGTATAGTATATAGAGTTCTAACAGATATAAAATTCTGTGTGAATTCCAAATTATTTAATCTCATCATATAATCATATCATTTTCATAATATTACTTGGAATTCTAACAGATATAAAATTCTGTGTGAATTCCAAATTATTTAATCTCATCATATAATCATATCTGTAGTGATAAAAATTACATGTACCCTTTGTTAATTTTCTGAGACTTTCGAATATACTTTTCGCTCTGAGGATTGACCTTAAAGGGGGTATTTGCTATTAAAGGTATTGATAAAACATAAGTAAGAAAAATATGGTTTTGTTGACTTTATAGGTTTAATATGGACTCTCAGTCAATCATCTCATAAACATTAAATTTGATCATTTTAAACTGTTGAATTTCTGTATCTGTAGTGATAAAATTTCATGCACCCTTTGTAAATTCTCTGAGACTTTCGAATGTGCTTTTCGCTCTGAGAATTAACCTTAAAGGGGAATACATGAAATTGAAGGTGTTGAATATCCATTCTGTTTATTCTACAAGACTTTCGAATACTTTTCGATTAGTAGAATTACTACCAAAAAGGGGATTAAGTTCAATACCTAATTGGAGGTGGTAATAGATGAATTAATCACAGAAAGAAAAAAATATGGTTTTGTTGACTTTATAGGTTAACTCACTCAATCATCTTAGAAACATTTAATTTGGAGAAACAGTTCCAATGTTTGATCATTTTGAATTGTTGAATTTCTTTTTCAGTTGTTCCCATGATTTCCTTCTACAGAAAGAATAATTGATAGAAAAAAAACATTCCATAGCCCTTATTCCATCAAAATAGTTTTCTTGTTTCAACATATATATTAAACCAGTCCACGCTTTATGTTTACAAAAATTAATTGTGGTCTGAAATCACTTTTTTTCCAAACAAGAGTTACCTCGCTTTATTTTTTTATTTCGCATTTCTCTTATATGTTGTAATTCTTTCAACTGCATCGCTTATATTTACTCCTGCTTTTGCAACAGATCCAAGAGCTTGCGCTTCTGAGGAAATGAGGGATTTATTGTTTGAGACAAAGTTGGCCACTTTGGGTATTAAAGATGTGAGCGCAGAGAAGAAACCGTCTCCTTCGAATTTTTTTTGTTCGTGTTTTAAAATTAAAGACATCTTATTTTCAATTGGGTTATTTTATACTGTATTATTATAGTGAATCTTGTGTGGTTGGGTATCTATATGTAGTATGGAGAATTCTGAGTTTGGGGGAGTCTGTTATAATACATTTTAGCAGTTTGGGGAGTCTGTTATAATACATTTTAGCAGTGTGTATTTTCGGATATGACTCATTAAAAAAGCTGCGCATGCGCAGAAGTGAAATGCGTCATATCAGAAAAGACATATACTACTATTGTACACAGAATTAATTTTTAATACAGAAAATTTAAAACATAAACAATTACATGTATATTGATATACACTTCTACTAAGATTGGTAATGTTCACCTCACGACCGCTCCTAGAGAATCGGTAGATATACTTTAGGGTCATGACCGCTCCTTCAGAATCGGTAGATTTACTTTAGGTCCATTACTCCATTTGGCAAAGTTAAGTCATGGCATTTTCGCTCTATGAGCCCTTCAGGAAACTTGCATTTCTGCTGTAATTGTTTTTCGTTTGCTTCGGTGTGTTTTTGCAAGTGCTGACGGTCTACCGAGCAGGAAACGACCCAACACTTGGGCAAAATAACTCCATTTGGCAAAGTTATATCTTAGCATTTTCGCTCTATGAGGCCTATCGGAAACTTGCATTTTTGCTGTAATCGTTTTGCGTTTGCTTTGGTGTGTTTTTCCAAGTGCTGACGGTCTACCGAGCAGGAAAAGACCTAACACTTGGGCAAAATAACTCCATTTGGCAAAGTTAGGTGTTGGTATTTTAGCTCTATGAGGCCAAAAGGAAACTTGCATTTTTGCTGTAATCGTTTTGCGTTTGCTTTGGTAAGTTTTTCCAATTGCTGACGGTCTATCGAGCAGGAAAAGACCCAACACTTGGGCAAAATAACTCCATTTGGAAAAGTTAGGTCATGGCATTTTCTCTCTTTGTAGCCTATAGGAAACTTGCATTTCTGCTGTAATTGTTTTTCTTTTCGTTTGCTTTGGTGTGTTTTCCAAGTGCTGACGGTCTTCCGAGCAGGAAAAGAGCAAACACTTGGGCAAAATAACTCTATTTGGCAAAGTTAAGTCATGGCATTTTCGCTCTATGAGCCCTTTAGGAAACTTGCATTTTTGCTGTAATCGTTTTTCGTTTGCTTCGGTGTGTTTTTGCAAGTGCTGACGGTCTACCGAGCAGGAAAAGACCCAACACTTGGGCAAAATAACTCCATTTGGCAAATTTAGGTCATGGCATTTTCGCTCTATGAGGCCTATACGAAACTTGCATTTTTGCTGTAATCGTTTTGCGTTTGCTTTGGTTTGTTTTTCCAAGTGTTGACGGTCTACCGAGAAGAAAAAGACCCAACACTTGGGCAAAATAACTCCATTTGGCAAAGTAAGGTCATGGCATTTTCGCTCTATGTGGCCTATAGGAAACTTGCATTTTTGCTGTAATCGTTTTGCGTTTGCTTTGGTGTGTTTTTCCAAGTGCTGACGGTCTACCGAGCAGGAAAAGACCCAACACTTGGGCAAAAAAACTCAATTTGGCAAATTTAGGTCATGGCATTTTCCCTCTATGAAGCTTATAGGAAAATTGCATTTTTGCTGTAATCGTTTTGTGTTTGCTTTGGTTTGTTTTTCCAAATGTTGACGGTCTATCGAGAAGAAAAAGACCCAACACTTGGGAAAAATAACTCCATTTGGCAAAGCTACGTCAAGACATTTTCGCTCTATAAAGCTTTTAGGAAACTTGCATTTTTGCTGTAATCGTTTTGCGTTTGCTTTGGTTTGTTTTTACAAGTGTTGACGGTCTACCGAGAAGAAAAAGACCC